GTTCGTCTGTCAATCTGAAACATCGTCTACTTTTTCTTTCTCCCGATAGAATTTAATGTAGCACTCTTGTACAAAACGATTCTTTGGAATCGGAGCGTGGCGAGATCGCACGTGTACACGTACGTTGTTTGAAAAGGCTCGCGTGTAAAACTAGAACAGACTTTTTTCTTTCTTGTCAACCGACCGACCTCGTGTACCTCGATTTCGCTCACGAGGCATGTACGATACTCGCAGGTTTCGTAGAGGCCAGCAATGCGTACGATTTAAGTCACGACTCCGCAAGTACATGCATGTCAGTATTTTACATTTATAATATAGAGAGAGAGAAAAAAAGTTAACACACGTACACAAACACGTATACACATTGTATATTTATAATATATGATATATATTATACATATATATACATATACATACACAAATATAATACACAAAAAGAACACGTGTGTGTGTATATATATATATTTATATATATACACACAAGTATGTTATTATTGTAATTGAGCAGTGAAAAACGAAAATACGCGTATCGAACAGCTAAACTTAATCCAAACACAATTTGATGTTCGGTATTTATACGTAGGATGACGTAATAAAAGTAATGTCGTAGTTGCTTTTCGTAAATTTCGTCGCACATGCTTTTAGTAATTTTTTCTCGCTTTTTCTACCCGCCCTTTGAAACAACAACAACAACAAAAAAAAAAGATGCTCATACTTTTGGTAGAGTAATAATAAAATGTTATCATCATTTGTGATATATACGTACACGTCAATGAACTTTCATTAAAAATCCTTGCGTTGTGGAATTGGAAGAGAATTTTTAGCAAATTAATAAGGAAATAAGGGGACAAAGGATGGAAGTGTTTTTAAAAACCACGATAGAGGGAGAGTACAATGCTTGTATTCGTGTATGGCTCATAAATAAAGAGCTTACAATAATAAGATCGTCAATAACAGTCTTTTTTGTGAATTTAAGCCTGAAAAATTGTAAAAATTCAATTGAAGACTATGTTTTCAATAGAATTGCTAATATAATAGCTTAATGTGGTGATTATATATTATGATAATTTTTCAATTAACAGAAGTTTATTAATTGGTGATTGTATGTATATACTTATATAGGGACATAATAAACATTCATTTAGATTTGTTAAATTTTTTGAATTGAATTGAATTGTTTTAATTTTGTCTTCAGTTTAAATTCACAAAAAATTTTGTTAAAATTGGCGATCTCATTTTATAGATGCTCTTTTTTTACAAAAGTTGCAGATTAAAATTATTTTGTATTTTTTTATACTGTTTCTTTTTCTTAGAGGACTTGTTATTTTTAATATATTAAAATACAGAAGCTAATTTTTGCAATTATAGACGAAAGAATTTTTAAGTAAAATGTAAAAAGCATGTAAATTATGTAATATTTCTTCTCTTATTTGAAGTATCAGTATTGATCCTTTTGAAATTGCTTCTGGATTTAAAAAATTCAAGTTTCATAAGCATTCTTCTCAGAAATTTTTATTTTCTTTTAGATTTCTTATTAATGTTAGTCAGTTTTGCAATACGACTTATTGTTAGTTGTTTTGATTAATAAAATTGAAATAAAGCATTCAATACATGTTCTACATTTAACCGTCTCGAGGATTCTATTAAGAACGCAGTAAGTATTTTTATTAATTTTTATAATGATTAGTAGATAAACTTTTTTTTTATGAAAAGTAAAAAAAAAAAAAAGAAGTAAAAGTAAATATATTGAAATAAGTAATTTTGTGAATTTTTCATATTCCTTATCATTTCTAATGTTTAACTTTTGATTTAGGAATTAAATCAATGTTTTCATACTTATATGCGATTAACATAAAATAGTCTATTTCGTTGCGTCATCTAATTAATACCAAAGACATAATTGGACATGCTTTTTCCTGTCTTTAATTTTGGAGATCAGATTATCAGATTGACCTTCTTACCATTTTCATGTCACATCCTACCATATCGATTTAGGCAGGTTTTGCACTACAGCGCCACTAGTAACAAGAATTAAAATCAGAAAATATGAACACAAATGAAATATGTAAATAAATCTTTCTAATATCACAGATGGGATGATGACAAATATGATATTATATACTTCGTGTGTGCTAACATACAATGTATTTTGGGCAAGAAGTTTGAATTTTTACAATTTTTGAGAAGAAAAGTATTCTTACTTTTACACTTGCAGCATATAAACATTTTTAAAACAAACTTAGGATTCTTAAAATGGAGGCTTTACTTTTTAAAAATAAAATCAAGCGATTATAGCGCCTCAACGGTGAAATATACAATATACGTCTATGATTTTCGGATGTAATAATCGATATTTCTCACGATCGATTTTTAAGCGGGATGCATGGCGGAAAGAAGCACACCTCGTTTGTAAACAAGAAAATATTATCCAAAAGAATCATCCAGAAAGAAGTGTCATCCAGAAGTTCTCAGGTAAAAATTTAAATCAAGAGCTGTTAAATTTGTGTTGTGAATTTTTAAGACAAAACGTGCTTCAACTTAAAGTAAGATTTAACCAAACAATTATTTTCAACAATTAAAGAAATAATATAAATATTTAAACAGAACATACCATGCTAAAAGTTATTTAAAATTTTATATCAAAATATAATTTCAATTCTAACCAATACAAATATTGTAACCTTGTAATATGACTAACTTATTATATATATATAATATACTTTTATTTCTATTGTAACATTTTCTACTTATTTGTTGATTTTTTTGTTAACAACCTCATACTGCATAGTTCTTAACAATTCCAATGCTAAATTCAACAATAATTTATTAAAAATGTACGTATTTAATGGCATAAATAATAATTCTGCTGCATAATATAATGAAACTTTTTGTGTCTCAATTTGATGTATTGACAATTTTTCATCAAGTGTGAGAATATTTTCGTTTTTTTATAAGAATTTCTCATGAATTTTGTGTATTTAATTTAGATCAAAGTTCTTTATTTTTTACTT